AACTGGCCTCCTCTGCCGTCTGGGGGGGTGGCGGGGGTTTCCCATCATCTTTCTTGGCTCCGGTCCCCGTGTTGGCCGAATCCGCGGAGCCACCCTCGCCCGGAGTTTGATCGGTCGCCGACGGCGGCGCCGCCGGCATCCTCCGGGCTTCTGACACACGGAGTGCCTCGGTGAGTCGAGCAAGCTCGGAGGTGAGCGACGCGATGGTGTCGTTTTGCTTCTCGATCGTCTCCTGAAGGCCTAGCTTCTCGAGCGCCGAGCGCTCGACCTCCTTCTTCAGTGCCTCCTTGAGGAACATGTTGTGATACTGGGTGTCCATGCGCACGAATATTTCCTGCAATGTTGGGTGTGCGGAAAGGCGACAAGAGGTTAGAATTCACCGGCTAAAATTCAACGACGCCGACGTGGTCGGCAACTCACCTCCGGTTGTATGTGAGTCGGGTCCCGGCGCTTTTTGATCGTATCGGTGTCGATCGACTCGACCCTTTTCGCCCAGTGCTGGAAGAGGGCAATCCTGCAGAGCTTGGAACCTTGGACGTACGGGTGCCACGGTGTGCGGACGAGCTTCACCGCGAGGTCCTCGGCGACGATTCGTCGGAACATCACGAGGGTGCGCAAGAAGTGCACTGCGGCTGCAGCGGCGTCGCTCCCGTTGACGGCACGCGTCTCCGCCTGCAAGTCGGAAAGTGGCGTGGGTTAGTAGGGAGTTGGGCAGCCAACTAGGCCACGACGACTGAAAAACATTGTCGGCGTCGCGTGACATACATCGCGCAGCATAGCATCCACGCCGGGGAAGATGTGCTCGGCGAGGAGGTCCAGGAGTTTGTCGGAGGGCTCGACCCTGCTGCGCCCCAAGAAGTAGTCTTGCTTGAGTCCCGAGTAGCCGGCCTTCCGCATCACCACCCCAACGGGTATGGCCGTGATGTACGCACGCGTCATCTTGTCGAGAGCCCAGTGTCCCAGCTCGGCGATCTCGGCGCGCGGCGTCCCTCCGATGGCTAACTCCTGCGCACCTCCGGCGCGGGCGGCGTGCACGTTCCTTTTGCAGAACACCTTGTTGGTCGTCCACACCTGCCGAGTCCAACGTTGGTGGGTGGCGGCGGAGAGCTCCTCCTGCTCCTTGTCGTTTCTGGCGAAGAAGAGATGCTTCTTGTACCAGCGTTCGCGTTCTGTGATGTCAAGCGGCGAAAGAAAGTCGGTGCCGGAGAACTGACCGATCTGGTCGAGGATGAAGTGCAGCCACAGGCCGGTCTCGCCGACGGCGCACAGCTCCGCTTCCAGGTGTCGCGCAGCGTAGCTCTGCTGAAGACGGGCATCCTTGGAAGTCTTCGAGTTACGCGCGGCGATCACCATGACGACCGGCTGGCTATCCGGGTTCACCTCCGAGGTGCTCGCCAGGTGGTACAAGAAGATGTCGGGGAGCGTGATCTCGCGGATGCTGCCGCCGCGCAGGAGAGTGTGGTGGGAGAGTAGCGTGAGCACCTTGATGAGCAGGAATCGCCACAGCGTCTGCGACGGAGTGGTAGCCCGCGGGTTCCACGCCGCCGCCGCCCATGTCGGCAGCACCCTCATCATGATCTGGCGGAACTGCTCGGCGGTGTAGGTATCGCCGATGGTGCCGCGTCGACGATCGGCGCAGTTCCTGAACGCAAATCGGCGGGGAAAATCTGTTAGACTGCGTCGACTTCACAGTGCACAGTGATATATAATAAGGTTGTCGACCAACTTACTTGAGGTCCCTCTCGTTCTTGTGGCGGACGTTGAACCGCACCTCCGATCTCACCACCGAGATCTCCCTCATGAGGCCCAGCTCCTTCTCTCGGTACAGCGTCGCCTCCACCCTCGCCGCCATCTGGCATGCCTTTATCCGGCCGAGGATCGTGTGCACAGTTGTCGACCTCACAGGCCCCGTTCGCGTGGCATTGTTCTCCTCCCCGGGCTGGTCAACAATGAGGTTACACTCACGGCTCATTTGCTTCACGTAGGCGCGCAGCCGGGTTTCGGTGACCCTAGGGCCGTGCAGCCAGATGTACTGTCGGCGGACCACTTTCTCGTTGCACCAATCCTCTTTCTTGTTGTCGCGGATGTAGTGGCCGATCTCGTCGACGTGCCTAAGTCGTTGCTCATGGGGTAGCTTGTCGCGTAGCTGCTTCAGCATCTTCGCCGCCCACTTCTTGTAGTGGTAGATGAACGCGGTGTACAGCCTGAGCGTGCTATTCTTCTCCAAGCATTGTAGGTGTCGTAGGGCGTCCATTATGAGCACGTCAATGCTGGAGTACACCATGTCGTCCACTACAAAGTCCGTCGCCTTCCACCCTTCGCGCGGCACCGACATGTGCTGATCGTCCTCCTTCTCGTCCGCTTCGAGCATGTCACGTATGTATTCAAATTCCCGCCTAAGGCGTTCTTCCAAGGTGCGCGGATTCGTGCTACGCGGAGGACGGTCGTCGACTTCGTCGTCGCTCTCTTCCTCGTCCTCCTCGTCGTTATCACCTTGGTTTTCCGAGCCGGCGGGCACCGACGAAGGTCCTGTCTGCCCATCTGCCGTCGGTGTCGACTTCTTCGTAAACTCCCCAATTGGCGGATTCGGTATGTCCTTGGTGTACTCCCCTTCGGGAATCTGAGTAAGTTTGTCAAGATCGTAAAGCAACTTCAGCGTCTCTACGGGGGCAGAGGACGGACTGTGGTCGGTTGGGGTACCAACGTCGGGCATGTCGACGTCGTCCATGACCGCTCGTATGCTCTACCGCCGGCCGTGGAAGAGGGAAAGATTGGTAAACCAGAGATGGTACTGATTCACGGGTGCGGTGTACGCCCTAATCGTCCTGCGGCGGTCTTCCTCGAATTCCCTCTCAAGTGCTTCTAACTCAGCGTCGACCTCGAGTCGTTCCAGTTGCGTTTTGATGTCGTCGTCTACCGAATCGGCGGGGGGTGGGATAAGTTGTTGTGGCTGTTGGGCACTAGCCCTTCCTCTGGCCATGCGTCGCCGACTCGGTAAGGTTGGGAGATGCTATCGTCGCCCTGATCTATCGTCGCCGACTTTCCTATATGACGACCTAGAACCTAGTAAGGCGAAGTCGACGATGGTCGACCCCAACACCGACCTATGGCAGTCTATTCCAGGCCGTCGCCTTTGTGCCGCCGCTCGGTCGACTCGGCCGTCGAGTAACCTACACCCGCAGAGATAGCGAGGGTCCTGTGAAGAAAACGAAGTGCTAGATGGCGCACAGGAGCATGAGAGAAACATGAAGCTGAACCGGCAGAATGAGAGCGTTGTGCGTGGTCAAGGAGGGGTATGGTTGCGAGCCACTGCGCACCTGCCGCGCTCCACGCAGCCCTCTTTGCAAGCGCCGCTGTGCACGTGGATGACGTGTCACGATCGATGCATGTCTAGTGTCACGCCGCTCTGCGCTCAACGGCACTCCCGCCGGTGCCTTGCCACGGTGGAATTCACGTGCGCCACGTGCAATAGGCCAATCACCTAGTTCCACTCTCCCGAAATGCCGTAGCGTCCTGCTCTCCCGCGCAAGCCTCATCGACCTGCGAGTAGGCGCGTGGCCGGAGGCTTGGTCGACGCCGACATTCCCTGACTCTGGGGCTCTCTTCGCCTATGCATTGTTTGGTCCGCACAGAACCATCCGCGTGGGTCGTGCTACTGCGGTTGGATCTTCGGGCGACACCGACATCTCAATACCCCGCGTTCTCTGGCTATCTACGTGGTGGACACATGCCAGTCGTCTTTCGCCGCGTGGACGATGGTTACATTTTTCGTCGGCGCGCCAAGTTTCGCACGCAGAGAAATATACCCGGTGGTGCGAAGCAGGGCCACGTCGGCGCCGTCGTGGCACCTCCCGATTGTCAGGCTCGATCTCGGCCGTCCCTACTAAGCCACGTGGCCGTAACCGCGGCTCGGCGCACAACGTGTCGAGCTGTGGTTCAGGGTCCGCTGAGGTATCCTTCTTGGGTTTCTCTCAGCGAAACCCGAGGTCGTCAGATAGTCGACAATCCCGAGGGGTTCAGAGCCCCAGAGGACTGCCATGTCGCCCCAGTTTGCCACTCGCAAGTCGTCTGGAGCTCGTCAATCTCGAGGGGGTTCGTTGTCCTATCGCAACCGCGAAAATGGGCGGCGGTTTTCGTCGGCTGAGGTAAACCATCCCAGACACCCCAGTTTCGCGATGTTGTGGCGAGGGGAGGACCTCACTCCAGCAGCCATTTCGTCCAGCAACCATTTCGACTCGTTTTTTCCTCACTCCCGTTTGCCTTCTTCGCGCTTTGAAGCCATTCCCTCACTCTAGCTTCCCAGTTCGCAATTTTCCGTGCCATCAAGGCGTCGTTCTCGTCGCTTTCCAGAGAGTTCAGTCGAGTTTTCACGGCGATCTTGGCAATAGACCAGATTTCGCTGTTAGTTGCCAGAGTTGGCTATTTAACGCCGCTCTTCGCCGTTCAGCGTTGAGTCTTGGAATTTCGCGAGGAAATTTCTGTTATCGGCGTCGATTTTCGCTATTGGACGTGACCTTTCACCGTTGAGCGTCGACTTGTGGGATTTCACGAGGAAGCTTGAGCTTCGACGTCGAATTTCGCTGTTCGCCGTCGACCTCCGCTGTTTCGCGTCGAAGTCTCAATTCTGGTAAATTGAGCATCGAATCGGGTAGTTTGTTTACTGATTACTCAGCTTCGCGATTCGCTGTGAAGTAACTAATCATCGTGTCTCTCGCAACGCGCAGGCGAGCACACAACCATTCCAAGTCGTCCGACATTCCAGCCCGCCAATTCTCGCTCTTCGACGTGAACCTTCGCGACTTCGCTTTCCGTTAGGCTCGTCATTTGCTTCTTCCGTAAGCATCTCAAGGTAAGTTTTTGAGCTTGTTTTTTTCTTCGGTTATTTTTTGAAATCGCGATTTTCGTTTCCCAGCATCCCTGACTCGCTGTGTCGTCTCACTTGGCAGGCGCACCATGCTGAGCAATCATTGGAGGAAATCGAGCATGGCAAGCCGTCAGCCATGTTCAAGCGTGATCGAGCGCGCGTCATCCTGCTCTGCCACGCGCTGCTGGATGTCCGCGCTCCCCCCATGACCACGCAAGGTACTCCCCGCGCTTCCCTCCTCTTGTAACTTGCACCACTGGCGCCGTTTTCTGCTCTCGTTTTTCATTCGCGAGTTGAGTTGTGGTGTGGTGAGGTGTTGTGCGTCATCATGTGGTGCGTCATCATGTGGTGCGTCCCTTTGGTGAGTCTGCTGCCATCAAAACTTTCCTCTCGTGCTGCTGCCAATACAAATTTTCCACCATTTCTCTCACTCATCACTTGGTCGTCCTCTAACCCTACTCTGAGTTTGTACGGTAATAACCCCTTCTTCGCCCCTTGATTGCCACTCGCTCTGTGTGTCGCCCCCCTCCCACCAGGAGGCAGGGAGCAGCAGCAGGGGGGCGACATGGAGCAGAGGGGCAGCAGCAGCCGTGCCTTCTCACCCTCGCCTCGCCACAGTTAAGTGCCCCGCCCTGCCCCTCTGCTCCTCGCTTCTCTCTGCATTTCATGCTTGATTTTGTGCCACATGCAAGAGACCTCCCTCACCCAAGGTAACAGGTTCAAAACTTTGGTACAGCCTCAGGTATGCTTTTTTGTCTTATTCAGCTGGTACGAGGTCTCTTGGGTGTGCCACTGCAGCAGAGCATTCATGCACGCGCCATTGTTGCACTTGCCGCACGCTTTGTCTCACCTTATTCCACCCATGCCTTCGTTCCTCATTGCCCTCCTTTGTTCTCTGCTCCCATTTCTCACCCCCGTCCTCTCCTCCCCCTCCACCTTTCCTGTATCTGCCCCTAGCTGACCCCTCTCGTCCCTCCAGGTCGCTCACACGGAGGTGGCAGTGGCAGTGGCAGGGGACATGGAGTGCACACGCAGCACCTGCTTTCCACCCAACCCAACCACAGCTAAGCTAAGTACCCTGCTCCACCTATCTTCTCTTAACCCTCGCACTTGTGCTGCTTTCCATGTCTTGCACGCCATTCGTTACTGCTCTCTGTCACACTTAAGAGACCTCCCTCCCCCAAGGTATCAGGTTAAAACTTTTGGTACAGCCTCAGGTATTTGCTTATGTGTGGTTCTGCCGGTACGAGGTCTCCTGGGTGTGCCTTTGCAGCAGTCAATTCATCCACGCTTCACTCTTGCACTCGTTCGCTCTCACTTCACGCACTTGTCTTCGCCTCTTAACTCATCACCCTCCTTCTCTCCCTTATCACACCTCCATCCTCTCTCCATCCTCCCCCCTTCCTCTTTCTGTCCCAATTTGCCCGCTCTCATTCCAGCAACTCACTCACACGCCAGTAGCAGTGGCGGCACAGGCATCAGCTGCTCTCCACCCAACCCACACGCAGCTTAGTACCCGCCCTGCCTCTTGTGTTCATTGTCGTTCCACTTCAGTCCTTGCTGCATCTCTGTCGCTTGTGCATTCAAACGCAAGCCTCTGGTTGAGCCGAAACTTCAAGCCACAGACCCCTTTTTCTTGGGTAATTTCCCCCAGGTACTGCAGGTATTCTCTCAGGTCTGCAGGTAAGCCTCCCTAGGTGTGTACTCCCCTTGGGTCTGTGGCTTGTAGTTGAGGCTGCACCAGTGGCCCCTTTTTTGCTCTCACCTGCCATCCCACCCCAACCATCTTACCCCTAGCCGCTTTCTCAGTTCTCTTCAGTTCTCTCCTTGCCGGTTGAGGGGAGGGGCGTGGGGTCAACACCGCCACTCCCCTACACTCCTCCCCTGTGGCTGTGCAGGTGGCAGCGGTGGGAGGGAAGGGGAGCAGCACTCCACTCGGCTAGGGTGGGAAGGGAGAGTATTGGGATTGGGTCGTCTGAAATAAGGTGAGACTCATATCCCCTCATATCCACTCTCCAATCCCCATCTCGCTCCCACCTCCCCCGCTGCCTTCACCTCATCCTCACGCCGCTCCCCTCGCTGCCCTCCCTGCCTGCCAGGCCAGCGCAAGCCAGGAGGACGGAAGCAGGCGAGCAGCAGGCGACGGGAGCACCAGGGCGGGCAGCAGGAGCGCGGGCAGCGGGGCAGCAGCGCCGGCCTCATCAACGGTTGAGGTTGCAGTATCGCCCCTGCCACCACACTCCACTCGAGCCCACTCCCCCTCAGGTTCAGGTTCAGGTGCAGGTTCAGGTTGGTAGCGGCTCTTGTGGGGTTGTGGTTGGCGTCACATGCACCGTCATTTTGCACTCACACTGCTGCCTGTCTTCTCGTTTAAAAGAGCCGCTCCCTCCCACCTGCCTCGTAGTAACTTCATATATCTCTCTCCCTTCTCTTCTGCCTCGCAGGTCCGTCCCTGCTCGCCCTGCCCACTCTCCATTGAAGCACCCCCTCCGCCTGCACCACACAATCAGCTAAGTACCCGTTCCCTCATGCCCGCACCTTGCCTGCCATACTGTTTCTTTCGTTTCATCTGCTGTTGCACCGTCTTCTTGAAACAACGCCACTGGTTGAGTACTGCTCACATGCTACAGACCCCTCAAGTTCAGGTAAACCTCTCAGGTGCAGGTAACCCCTTCAGGTGCAGGTACACCCCTCAGGTTTTTTTTCAGGTGCCCTTGGGTCTGCAGCTTGTGGCCGTGCCTCCACCAGTGGCTCCTCCTCCCTTCCCTTGCGCTGGATTTTTAGTCATAGTTTCCCATTCAACTTGCTCCCACCACCGCGCTCTGACTAGCTCTGTGTGTGCGCGTTGCAGGTGGCGGGGAGGGGTGTGGGGTCAACACCGACGCTCCCTCACGCCCCTCCCCTGTGGCCGTGCAGGGAGGAGGCACCTGGAGGAGGGCTGCTGCGGAGGGAGGCAGCTGGTGGTGCTGCAGCTGTCTTGAGCTCTCCCTCACGCTATCAGCTAAGTCACCCACTTCCATGCCCTCACCCTTGCCCGCCACATCATGGCTTGTTGCTTTCTTGGTGCAAGTTCCTTCGCCGGTTGTGCTTTCGCCCTTCCCTTTGAAACAATGCCACTGGTTGAGCTAGGTTTACATGCCTCATACCCCCTCCCCTCTCTTCAGGTATCTCCTCAGGTGCAGGTAACCCTCTCAGGTGCAGGTCCCCCCTTCAGGTGCAGGTTCCCTTGGCGTCTGTGCCGTGTGGCCTGGCCTCAACCAGTGGCCCTCCCTTTCTCTTCCACATTTGGCAGTTTCCGGTCTCTGCCTTGTGTTGTGCCCATGCCATGCATACTGACCACCGCCGTGTGTGTGCGTTGCAGGTGGAGATGAGGGGCGCTGGGGTCAACACCGACGCTTCCCCACGCCCCTCCCCTGTGGCCGTGCAGGGACTCGTGGGGACGGGAGGGAGGCAGCACTGCAGCATGGCAATCCCACTGCAGCAAGGGAGAGTATCGGGATGGGCTTGGCCTCTCAAGGTAAGCCTCGTACCTCTCTTTCCCGCTGCACTCGTTTTCTGCTAACTTGCCCTCATGCGCTCATCCCTTTGAATCGCCCGTGCCTGTGTCAGGCCTGCACTCACTCCCCACTTGACCTTCCCTTCCGTTCTCTCCCCGTCCAGGTCACTCGCAATGCAACAGAGACAGCTGAAAGGACCTGCTGTGGCAGCGTCAGCAGCAGGGGGCGCGGAAGCAGTAGGGGAGGGGAGGGAGGGAAGGGGACACGAGGCAGCATCTCTCGGCGGCTCTTCAGCTGCCAGCTAAGTGCTCTCACCTCCCTGGACTCGCTCTTGCCTGCTGCTCACTGCTCATACTGAATCACTCTTGTTTTTTTCACACTGTTGCTTTCTTGCTGCCAGTTCCTTTGCGGGTTGTGCATTCGCCTTCCCTTTGAAACACTGCCACTGGTTGAGCACGATTTGCATGCCTCAGACCCCCTCACTTCAGGTAACCCCCTTAGGTGCAGTGCAGGTAACCCCTTCAGGTGCAGGTACACCAGGTTCTTTTTCAGGTGCCCTTGGGTCTGCAGCTTGTTGCCATGCCTCCACCAGTGGCTCCTCCTCCCTTCCCTTGCGTTGGATTTCAAGTCACAGTTTCCCATTCAACTTGCTCCCACCACCGCGCTCAAACTAGCTCTGTGTGTGCGCGTTGCAGGTGGGGGGGAGGGGTGTGGGGTCAACACCGACGCTCCCTCACGCCCCTCCCGAGTGGCCGTGCAGGGAGGGGGGCAGCACTCCACTCGGCTGGGATGGAATGGGAGAGTATCGGGGTCGTCTTGAACAAGGTGAGCCTCTTTTCCCTCATGCACTCATGCTGCTGCCGGTCTTTTTCCCGTGCTCGCTCTCGTTTCTTGCCCTCTCCCTGTCTTCACGCTGCTGCCTGCTCTTTGCCCCATTCTCACTGGTCTCCCTTGCTCCCCTACCTCACTCCCTCTCTCTTCCCTCCCAGTACGTCCAAGGCTGTAGCAGACCGGCAGCAGTAGTAGCAGCAGCAGGGGAAGCAGAGTAGCAGACTGGCAGCAGCAGAAGCGGAAGCAGTAGCAGCAATGGGGGCTGAGGGTCTGAAACCCCTTGCGTGGGAGAGTGGGAGTTGGGAGAGTGGGGGCTGAAACCCCTTGATTGGGTGAGTGAGAGGGATGGGGGTCGAATTTTTTTTGGTGGGTAAGTGAGATGGCAGGGGGCTGAGTCCCCTTGGGTGGGTGAAGGGAGAGGTAAGGGGACTGAATCCCCATGGGTGAATGAGTAAGCGGAAAGGGGGTTGAGTTTTCTTGGTTGGGTGAGTGAGAGGGAAGGGGTTAAATCCCTTTGGGTGGGTGAGTGAGAGAGAAGGGGGATAAATTCCCCTGGTTGGGTGAGTAAGAGGTAAGGGGTGAGGTATGCTGGGTAGCTGGTGAGTTGTTGGGGGTTGGTGGGTGAGCAGGTGGGTGGGCGGGCAATGACTGGGTGGGTAGGTAGTTGAGTATGTGGGTTGGATGGGTGGTTTCTGGGTAGCTGATTTTCCTGAGGCACTGGGCCGTCTGCTGCTCCTACTGCTGCCAGGTGAATGTGGGGAGGGCCGAGATAAGGTGGCTGGGGGGTGGGGAAACCAGGGGAGGTGCCACGTGGCGGTCTTCCATTTCATTTCACGCAAAATTGAATCAGTTCGGGTCAAACTTGATTTGACTGGTCATTTCCCCACCTCCATCTTCGCTCGTCGTTATCACACATCACCGTCATGGGTTGCATCGCCGTGCCCATTTCCTTTCTCGCTTCCATTCTTTCTCTACCAACGTTATTATTCATTCACGCGCGGCGCGCCTGATTGCATCAAGCTTTCGCGTGGCGTCCTCGCTTTGAGCACCTCTCCCTCACTTCACATTTCTATCTTCCTCCCAGTTCACACTCTTCGCCGTTCGTTCGAATACCACAGTTTTCGTTCCATCATGCCCCGGCTTCTAGCCTCACCGCATCTCACCGCTTCTCACGCCGCGTCACCGCCATTTCCGCCTTCCCGATTCTTCCGGTCACGCGCTTCGAATGCGTCAAACGGATGTCTAGGTGGAAAATGGGACGACATTACTCTTACTCTCCGCCGCGACATTAGCTCGGGGACGACTGGGGGAACCGCGAAAGACAAGGGAGTGCGGAGAGCTCTGCGAGGCGGAGTTGGGGGAGAGGGGTGTGTTGCGCAAAACTATGGAATCCAGAGCACGAAATATAGAGCACGAAAAGCACTCGCCACTCACCCGTGGTTTAGACAGATCCAGCATGGGAGGAGCAGGGCGGGCCACTTCTCTCCAGTCCAGCCCCCCAAACGCGCTGCTGTCTTGCTTCTTATCGTCCTTCTTGGATGCGCTGCTCCCTTTCGCCCCGCCTGCGCTTTCCCCAGTCCCCTGTCCCCCTCCGAATCCCTTGCCCCCTGTCCCCGTTGCGCAACACACCCCTCTCCGCCTGCTCCGCCCTTCCCCCCAACTCCGCCCCGCAGAGCTCTCCGCGCTCCCTTGTCTTCCGCGGTTCTCCCAATCGTCCTCCGAGCTAATGTCGCGGCGGAGAGTAAGAGTAATGTCGTCCCATTTTCCGCCTAGACATCCGCTTGACGCATTCGAAGCGCGCGACTGGAAGAATCGGGAAGGCGGAAATGGCGGTGACGCGGCGTGAGAAGCGGTGAGATGCGGTGAGGCCAGAAGTCGGGGCATGATGGAACGAAAACTGTGGTATTCGAATGAACGGCGAAAGAGTGTGAACTGGGAGGAAGATAGAAATGTGAAGAGAGGGGGAGGTGTTCGAAGCGAGGACGCCACGCGAAAGCTTGAAGCAATCAGGCACGCTGCGCATGAGTGAATAATAACGCTGGTTGAGAAAGAATGGAAGCGAGAAAAGAAGCGTTCACGGCGATTTGACCCGTGACAGTGATGTGTGATAACGACGAGCGAAGATGGAGGTGGGGAAATGACTAGTCAAATCAAGTTTGACCCGAACTGATTCAATTTTGTGAGGCTCAGACCGCCACGTGGCACCTCCCCGATACTCTCCACATAAAATAGAAGAGCTGGAAGACCGCCACGTGGCAGTCTCGCTGGCATCGCTTCCAGAAGCATCGTCACTGACGGACCCACTGCTGACGCGTCGCGAGGTAATGCGATCGTCACATGATGCGCATTACGGAATAACAATGGAATGTCGTTCATTGCCATGATAGTTGTAGGGGCCCGGAGGTGAATGGAGCTAGACGCGGGGTAGGTTAGGGGAAAGAAGGAGGAGGGAGAGGGGTCCGAAAAAGGGAATGCGTGCATGATGTCCCGCATTTCCCGCTCTTTTGCCAATGTATATCGAGAGCGATGTTTTGGCCGTTTTTAACTGTGTTGTGTGTTCTACCGTTGTGAGTTTCATTCTTTGAGTAATCTCTTTCGAGCCTCTTAACGGTGTATGCTGTTCAATGGTTTATTTTTAAGGATTGCATGTACCGTATGGCCCCGGATATAGGCGCCGGCCTATTACAGGCGCCGGCGCTTCTATCTGGAGCATGGCGCTTATGGCCGATCCTCGATTATAAGCGCCCCCTCTGTAAAACCATTACTTATTATAAGCGCCCCCCCTTTTTAATTTAAATATCAATTAAAATCGGTAACAAATTTCAGTTTTGCAGCGAGTCAATTTTCGTTTTCGCTTCGTTTGACTCGCGAAGACCTGACTGGCTGCGCGTCCAGTCAGGATGTGCTGGCATCCCAGCAAAGTGACGCGAATTTGACAGTGTGCAGGAAGCAGAATCGCTTGCGCGCGATTCTGCTTTGTGGTACTCTATATGATTTCGACTCGTTTCAATTTTGTACCTTTAACGTATAAATTTGTATGTGTCATTATATAAGCGCCGGCGCTTATGGCCGTTACTCAATTACAAGCGCCACCCCTAAAATTTTTGAACTTATTATAAGCGCATATGCGCTTATATCCGGGGCCATACGGTACTCTTGTTTGCAGAAGTTTATCTCTACCTTCGTTCTTGTTGCAAGCCTTGTTGAAGTTTAGAAGAAAGAAGAGAGGATTGAACTAGCAAGAATGAGGATACAAATAGCAAACCCCAGACGAGTTGTACTCGCTATAGAGCACCCCACTACAGGCTAGAGCATAATATTCTGACACACCCCCATAGCCAAAGTGGGGTGTAATCAGCAGAGCAAGCAAAGCAGTACAAACTCAGGGTGGATCACAATGTCACCACAAATTCTGAGCACAAGTTCAAGAAGCAATAATTAAAGTTCACAATTATGAGCAAAGCTAGTGGCAATCACAACGGGCAAGTGAGGAGGAGGAGGGACAGTGAGAGGAGAGGAGATAAGAGGCGACGGCTGAAGCTGCAGACACACGGGCAACAGGAGTGGCGAGCACAGTGGCTACCGGACCAAGTGGCCGGACTACAGGAGTAACTGGCTCCGCGGCTAAGACGAGCGGCAGGAGCTACGGACCCACAGGCGACTGGCGCAGCGACGAGCTCACTGGGCTACCGGGACAGCGCCCCGGACTACAGGTGCTGCGGACGACAAGACGGCAGCCTCCGCTCAACCTCCCGCAAACAGTCCCACCCCCCCTGACACACACCCGCTGCTACACCCCTAGCTCCACTCCCCTTTCACCCCCTAGCACGACTCCGTCGACTCCCACACACCCACCCCCCCTCAGCGGCAGCTGCAGCAGTGGGAGACAGAGGAGGAGGAGGAGCAGGGGAGACCACACACCCGCCACCCCCTACTCGCCACCCCCAAACCTTTACACAGGGCAGGGCGGGATGGCGGGTAGGGAGGTTACGGGGGGGGGGGGGCGACACGTGGTGTCCCAGAGCGCCAAAACAGGCTGCAGAAGGGGCGGCGCTCGCCCCCTCCCCCCCCGAGGGAGCCGCGACGGGCGACGGGAAAAGGGGGGGGGGGGGGGGGGGGGTGTAGCGCCCCCGGTACGCCGCGAGGGCGGCGCGCGGGGCCGTCGAAGGGCGCGAGGGGGGCCGCAGGGGCGGCGCGCGGGGCCGATGAAGGAGCCGCGAGGGGCCTGAAGGGGCGGCGACGGGCCGCGAAGGGCGACGGGGGCGACGCGCGGGTCCCCGTCGCCCGTCGCATCGCCTCCCGAGGGCGACGCGGCGAGTGACGGGGCAGAAGCCCGTCGCGCGCCTCGGGGCGCACCGCGCGGGTCCGCCGCGCGCCTCGGGGCGCACGGCGGGCAGAAAACCGCCGCGCGCCTCGGGGCGCACGGCGGGAAGAAAAAACTGCCGCACGCCACGGGGCGTGCGGCACTGAGAGTAGCAGTAGGAGTTGCAGCGGAAGCATCGAGGTGGTGAGCCCACCCACAGGATCGATCCAAGGGGATCGACCTGCTCTGATAGCATGTTGAAGTTTAGAAGAAAGAAGAGAGGATTGAACTAGCAAGAATAAAGATACAAATAGCAAACCCTAGAAGGGTTGTACTCGCTATAGAGAACCCCACTACAGGCTAGAGCATAATATTCTGACAAGCCTTACATCACAGCTTTTCTTTCTTCTTTTGCCGCAGATTACTTCTTTCCAAACAAGTTCTTTTCCTTCCCCACTCCCCCTCCATCGCAGCCCCCCCCTCGCACTGCTCGGAAGGTGCCCTTGCTGCTCCTCGTCTCCCTCTGCGCCTGCTTTCTCGCCATGCTGCTGCTGCCCCGCTCCACCCTGCTCCACCCTCACAGTCACGACCGCCCACCTATGCAGTCGATCCCGCTGCTCCCGCCACGGATGCAAATACCAGCAGCCATGCGTTCCTTCCCACCGAATAGCAGCAGCGAGCACAGGAACAGCAGCAGCAGCATTGCACCTGTTCATTTCTTTGTGTTTGGCGACTGGGGAAGGAACGGCACGTTCAACCAGTCGCTAATCGCCATGCAGGTACCACCACAGCAAAGCTAGCACGGCACTGAAAATCGAGGTGGCTTTTGAGTCGACCCAAAGGTCACCTCAGTAGCTGCTGATTGCCACGCAAGTACCACCACAGCAAAGGATGCATGCAGCAAGAGGCATAGCACGGGATGAGCAAGCACATCACTTGCTAGTAAGGGAGTGGGGAAGGAACTGCACGTTCAACCAGTCGCTCATCGCCACGCAGGTAGCACCACAGCAAAGGATGCATGCAGCAAGAGGCATAGCATTAGGATGAAATGAGATGCACGTCTCCCTTCCCCCCACTCCCACCCCTGCATCCCAATCAGATGGGTCTGATCGGTGCCCACATGGCCCCCCAGTTCGTGGTCTCCCTGGGGGACAACTTCCTCAAGCTCGGCCTTCCAGACGTCAATAACCACCAGCTCTACCCACCTCCTTTGTTCGTTTTCTTATCTTATCCCCTCACTTCCCATCTTCCTGTCAATCAGATGGGCCTAATTGGAGCCCACATGCACCCCCAGTTCGTGGTCTCGCTTGGAGACAACTTCCTCGAGCTCGGCCTTCCAGACGTCAATGCCCCTCAATTCGCCCAGTCCTTTACGAATATCTACACCCACCGCAGCCTGCAGATCCCCTGGTAAGCCACTTAGTATCTGTGGGTTGGTGAGCCCACATATGCTGGTGAGCCTGTATGTGTCGCTCAAATTTTGAGCGTTCGCCTTGTAGCTGGCCTCCCAGACGCCAATGCTCCCCACCCCAAGTCGCCCAGTCTTCCATGGATATATACAAAGTTCCCAAGGCTACAAATATATACACCCACCGCAGCCTGCAGAGTCCCTGATACCCAGGTGAAGCTCTTTATCTGGTATGCAGCAGTGACCAATGGCGACCGTCACTCTCTTTTACCTTCCCTTTTTTCTCCCCCTGTGATTTTCACCTCCATTCCTGGACAACCACGGCTTTCATTGGGACTTTTTATCTCTGTTGCATGCTAGCTGGGCCAATCACGACCACCCCTCGTTCTTCCCTTCCCCTTTTCCCCCTCTCCCCGCCCTCCCAGGCTGTTCGCAATCAGTCCTGGGAAACCATGACTACTACGGAAACGTGTTAGCCCAGCTGCACCCAGCGCTGGCCAATCACCAACATCCCTCCCTCTTTCCTTGTCCCCATTTCCTTCGTCCCTTGTTCCCCTGTTGCCCTGTTCCCCTGTTCTCCCCCTGCCCTGCTCGCCATCAGTCCTGGGAAACCATGACTATTATGGGAACGTGCTAGCCCAGCTGCATCCAGCGCTGGCCAATCGCGATCCTCGATGGACTTGCCGTCGCAGCATGGCCCTCTCGCTGCCCATCTGCGCCGAGATGGATGACCAGGGCGTTGACTGCGTTGACACTGGAGGAGGGCAGGGTGTTGACCGCGTTGACTCTGGAGGAGGGCAGGGTGTTGACCGCGTTGACTCTGAAGGAGGGCAGGGCGTTGACTGCGTTGACTTTGTTGACCTGTTTCTGTACGACTCGATGCCGCTGATCCCTGCATACCGGCGCAAGGAGGGCCGGCGGGTGGACTGGAGGGGCCTCAACACGGGCAACTGGAGCCGGCAGGAGGAGGCACAGCTGCAGGTGAGGCGTTGACTGTGTTGACTGCGTTGACTGTGTTGACTGCGTTGACTTTGTTGACTGCGTTGACTGTGTTGACCTGTTTCACAAGGAGGAGCGCCGGGTGGACTGGAGGGAGCTCAACACGGGCAACTGGGGCCGCCAGGAGGAGGCGCAGCTGCAGGTGAGTGTTGGATGGGATGTTGTTTGGAATTTGATAGTGCTGTTTGGATAAAAGTGGGAGGTTTGAAGTATGAACGAGGTGGTGGACTGGCGGGGCCTCAACACAGGCAACTGGAGCCGGCAGGAGGAGGCACAGCTGGAGGTGAGTGAGGGTATAAGTGGTGAGGTCTGGGTGGCACCCCTCCTTCTCCACCACCCCCCACACCACCACGACCACACATGGTTAGATGCACAGGCGTGCACACACACACATGCATGCATGAATAGCCCTCCACGCTTACATCAAGCATAGCCATCTTCTCCCATATTTGGAGAATTCTCAAACGCCCTGCACGTTCAAACCCGCAGGCGCGGCCGAAGGTGGTGGGCATTCACACGTGCAGCCACACATGCACACACACACGCTCACACATGCATATGCATCTCCCTCGTTGTACCTCTTGCCAGGAGCTGGAGGGGTGGCTGAGCAACTCGCAGGCGCGGTGGAAGGTGGTGGGGGCGCACCACCCGGTGTTCAGCTATGGCAAGCACGGCGACCAGCCCGAGATGGTTGAGAGGATCAAGCCGCTGCTGGAGGTACGATGGAGGCCGGAAAGGGTAGTTTGTGTGCAAAGGAGTTGCTTTTTGAGGCACGTGGGGAAGCCTGGGAGGCACGGTGGAAGGGAAGGTGGTGGGGGCGCACCACCCGGTGTTCAGCTATGTCAAGCACGGCGACCAGCCGGAGATGGTTGACAGGATCAAGCCGCTGCTGGAGGTGAGGTTGACGCCTGAAAGGGTAGTCTGTGTATAGGAGTAAAGCCCTTCACTTCAGGAAGGGAAGGTGGTGGGGGCGCACCACCCGGTGTTCAGCTATGGCAAGCACGGCGACCAGCCGGAGATGGTTGACAGGATCAAGCCGCTGCTGGAGGTGAGGGCTTAAGGTTTAGGACTACACCCTGTGTATAAGAGTCAGGAACCCTGGGAGTGGTGGGGGCGCACCACTCGGTGTTCAGCTATGGCAAGCATGGCGACCAGCTGGAGATGGTTGAGACGATCAAGCCGCTGCTGGAGGTACGATGGAGGCCAGAAAGGGTAGTCAGTGTGCATAGGAGTTGCTTCTTGAGGCTCGTGGGGAAGCCTGGGAGGGGAAGTGGAAGGAAAGGTGGTGGGGGCGCACCACCCGGTGTTCAGCTATGGCACGCATGGCGATTAGCCCGAGATGGTTGACAGGATCAAGCCGCTGCTGGAGGTGAGATCGAGATAGAGTTTACAGTACAGGGTTTCTGGCTTGTGATCCTACCCCTGCTTGAGGTAGGATGGAGAACTTTCTAGAAGTGACATGAAGTCCTGCTAGAGGTGAGATTGAGCTGTGAAAGGGTGCTGGTGTGCTACTACTTGTGTGGGCACACACATCGCACATGGTTGTTGTGTCCAAGAACAAGCACTTATTGATGATTTCCGACCAAATTCCCTCTGTGTTGTTCCATTTCGTCCGTGACTATATCAGAAGTATGGTGTGGACGTTTACATCAACGGTCACGATCGCAACATGCAACACATTAAAAAGGACGAGAGGTAAGACACACATTCGTCTTCCAACTGTTTTCACCCCCCTGCTTGCACAATACTGTAGCAGCATGTACCTTGTTTGAGACATGAGTAAATTCTCTCTTTCTTTTCTACCTTCACTCATGTTCGGTTTCCCATCCCATGTACATCCCTTGATTCAGTCCTGTTCACTATTTCACGGTAGGTGGGGGTTCCAAGGCATGGCGAGGCGATGCTCCCCCTGTTGCCCCCGGCCTGCGTTTCTTCTTCCCTGGTCAGGGTTTTAGTGCCCTGGAGGTCTCTATGAACTCTCTGACCGTCAAGTTTTATGGTGTTTTTGGAGAGCTCGTGTATTCCACCACTCTCAAGAAATGATTGTCAATGGTTGACGTGACGTGTGATAGATGCACAATGGACATACATTTATAGAATCAAGCGTGCTATTGTTGAATGTTTATTTGAGTTCCAGAAGGACCCCTCCCATGTTTACCCTGGGCTTTGTAGAATCAAGGTGTTTTTTGCAAATTCTGTAGAATGTTTCCAACATCGATAAGGAATTTATGTGATTGTCGCGAAGTATGGAATACACGCCTGCTTAGTAAATCGCGCCATCCCCCAAGCGAGTCATTTTCGAAGCCCTACAGCTCAGATGAAGCGCCTCGTCCGGGCATCCACATTTTCCAAAAGAATACCGAGCCTCACTTCCGAGCCTTTGCCTGGCACGACACGGTTCCCCTCAGAAGCTGCGGCTGACTAGCCCGAACCAGGAACCTAGGCTGTGTCTGAGGGTGTCAGTCAGCCTCAGCCGTTTCTCGGCACGCGTTTCTTCTGGAACCCGCTCCGCCTCCTGACGGCGTACTTTTTCCCAGGAGTCAATCTGGATGAGGTTGCCGTAATCAACCATGCTTAAATCAGGTGTAACGCACCATACCATACTTCACCTCTCTCAGAAGTAATTAGCAGGTGAACCACGGCTTGGGAAAGTGGCAGGCACCGTAGTTCCCTAAGTCAAAACCGAGCCAGGATGACATAGACTAGATTAGCTGATTTGTCCCTTGCGCGATACAAAGAAATTGATGCTGCCTGAGTCGTATCCTAAGCTTCATAGGGAGCTTGTTTTAGCCGTGTAGTTCGATTTGAAGTAGTTGAATATTTCGCAGTCCCATGTAATCGGCTGTCGAACGGAACCAGCTCTTACAGTCGAAAGCTTTTCAGTTCCCAAGGTGTCATTGCTTGTCCCCTGAACGGTTTTCTGTGACTACGTGGTCGAGGGTTCGATACTTCCGTGCAGCAGGAATGGCAAAAGCGAGTACGGATCCGTTTGACAAGATGTTGCAACGAAGCATTCAGGTTCGTAAGCTAGATGTCCGATTGATAAATCGCAGAGACCATCAGGTAGATTGCGGACGTGGCATATGCTTTCAATACCCCAAGGCCTTGCAGGTAGTTAGCGTTCAGTTCACTTAGCAAGGAGCATGAGCACGTTTAGACAGGAAAGTTCCTAGGCGCGGAATTCTGCAGAGCCGTTCCATGTATGAAGGAATGTTGCATATGCTAAACCATGCTAAACCTTAATGCTGAATTCCACGCCTTGTGAATGCAGGAGCTGCGTGACTTGCAGCCCACCCTATTGGATGCTGCCACGTATGCAGAGGAGGCCTATCTTGTCACGGACCAAAAGGACATGTAAGCAGTGGTGGTTTAGGGCGCGTGTCTTTTGCAAATTTGGGTCAGGTTCATGTTTTTTTGTTGAACTTTCACATTTGAACTTTGGTCGACCTCTGCTCGACCATCTCTACTTTTGGTGGTCGAGGAGCACTGTCAACAACAACCAAGTTGACTAACAAAGTTCAACTTTAAACAGTTAACTTGTTTGTCGCACTAAAGTTTCGTAGGGTACCCGGATCGCATTACAGTTCGTTACCGAATCTGGCTTCGGTAACGCAGTACACTGAACGTCGTTACTGTCGCGAAACTCGGAAATGTTCGTGCGTGCGCAAAAGAACACACGCTTGAATTCACGTAAACGAAAAACTCCTAATGCGAGGTCGACTTCAGTTTGTGTCCAACTTCTTTCACACTGTTTGAACTAGGACACACGATTGCCTTGCGATTTCTTTGACGAAATTAACGAAGATGGTTACCAGCAAAAGTTCAACCTTTTTCTTTAACGTCTACAGCAAAAGACACGCGCTCTTATTCAATAAAAGTTTTCCACATCATTGATGTTGGGACTCGGTTCCTTGGCTTCTATATTGTTTGAGCCATTTACTCCACCGTCTAGCCGTCCAGCCATCCAGCCATCCATTTTTTATGCTTCTGTTCCTCCGCTGCACAACGTGCGGGACTACGCAGTGAGCATGCTGATATCCGTGGTGGACCGCATTGGTGTTGCTGCTGCTAAATCTTACATGGATGTGCCTTGCTATCCAACTCCCCTCCCAGAGAGCTGCACAACGTGAGGGACTACGCAGTGAGCATGCTGGTGTCCGTGGTGGACCGCATTGGCGCTGCTGCCAACCTCATATCCTTATGCCGTGCTGTTCCCCCTCCTTTCCTCCACTGTGCTTCGCCCACGCATAGAGCTGCACAACGTGCGGGACCATGCAGTGAGCATGCTCGTGTCCGTGGTGGACAGCATTGGCTTGCTGCTGCTTGATTGTATTGTGACCCTCAATCCCTCCCTTCCCCTCGATTCACCTCTCAATCCAGAGAGCTGCACAACGTGAGGGACCATGCAGTGAGCATGCTGGTATCTGTGGTGGATCGCATTGGCGCTGCTACTCAATCGTGCGTGTGTGTGCCCCCTACTCCCTCCCCACGCAGAGAACTCCATAACGTGAGGGACTATGCAGTGAGCATGCTAGTGTCCGTGGTGGACCGCATTGGCGCTGCGGCCGATCGCTTCACCGATGCCGTCTCCCTGCAGGCCAAGGAGATGGCTGCTGCTGACGTCAGAGTCGCGTCAGCTGCCGAGGTATGGGTGTCCATGCATGCGAGCATGTGCGAGATGTGTGTGGGTGGGCGAGCAGGGGAGTGGGTGTCAGTGTGTGTCCACGTGTTTCTGTGCTTGTGTGTGTGGGGGGGAGGTGTCTGTGTGTGCGCGCTCCGTCTCAGGTACGCACGTTCTCGCATGCATGTGTGTCTGGGTGCGGCCGATCGCTTCACCGGCGCCGTCTCGCTGCAGGCCAAGGAGATGGCTGCTGCTGACGTCATGGTCGCGTCGCATGCGGGAATGTGCGTTCGCATGTGTGTGTGGGTGCGTGTAGGCTTACCTCACATGCACCATCGCATGCATGTGTGTGTGGGTGCGTGTAGGCTTACCTCACATGCACCATCGCATGCATGTGTGTCTGGGTGCGTGTGCTTCATGTGTGTCTCTGTGTGTATGGGTGTGTGTGTGTGTGGGGGGGGGGGGGGTGGGGGAGGAGGGGGGGGGGGGAAGGGAAAGGTGGGGGTGGGGCTGGGGCGTCGCTTCTGCCTCTGCCATCTTGCATCCTCCTTAGCTTCAGTGGTTCATGTGCGTCTCTGTATGTATGGGTGTGTATGCGTGTGTGCGTGTGTGTGTGTGTGTGTGTGTGTGTGTGTGTGTGTGTGTGTGTGTGTGTGTGTGTGTGTGTGTTTGTGTGTGTGTGTGTGTGTGTCTGTGTGCGGGCTTGTGTGCGGGCTTGTGTGCGCATGTGCATGCGTGCGTACGTGCGATGGTGCACACGCTCGCGCACGTGCGTGCGTGTGTGTGCCCCCCCCTCTTCTATGCTACAGCGAGTGCGGGCATGTTGGGAATACTCAGGGCGCAATGCACTGAACCGACAGCAGCAGCCTCATCTTCTTTTCCATGTGCCTGATTCCATGCCTATTCTGTGCTGTACTCTCTTTTCATTGCTGCAGCGAGTGCGGGCGTGTTGGGAGTACTCAGGGCGCAATGCACTGAACCGACAGCAGCAACCCAGGGCAACCAGTCACATGCCCAAGAGCTACCTGCTGCCAGGTAAACCAATCAGGGTGCTGCTTCGATGGCAGTTACTCCTTCTCTTCTCTCCGTTATCCTCCTCCTTCCATGTGTCTCACCTCCGAATGTTCCTTCCTTTCCCTGCTATGCTTCGCTTAAGGCGCTTCATTCTTTCACCCTGTTTCTTTCCGTTTTCCTCCTATCCCCCTCCGATGCCTTCCCTTTCATAGCCGAAGCAGCAGCAGAAGCTTCAACACCAGCACTAGCAGCAGCACGAGCACCATCAGCAGCACCAGCATCAGCGGCTGCAGCAGCAGCAAGCATGGAGCGGGAGTGCTTTCAGTATGGGTCGGGCTACTCTGCCTCCCCTACGAGAGGTGAGTCTTGTTGAGTGAGAGATGAGTTGGGCACAATCTATCATGTGTTGCAGCAGCAAGCATGGAGCGCGAGTGCTTCCAGTATGGGTCGGGCTATTCTGCCTCGCTTACAAGAGGTGAGTCTCTCTTTCAGTGTGGTGCTTTCCCCAACGAGAGGTGAGTCTTGTTGTGTGAGAGATGAGTTGGGCACAATCTATCAAGTGTTGCAGCAGCATACATGAAACGGGAGTGCTTCCAGTATGGGTCGGGCTATTCTGCCTCGCCTACGAGAGGTGAGTCTCTCTTTGAGCATGGCCTGGAAAATTGTCTGCCTCCCCTGTGAAAGGTGAGTTGGGGGTGGTTTTTAAGGCCCCTAAGAAAAGCATGCACGGAGCGGGAGTGCTTCCAGTATGGGTCGGGCTATTCTGCCTCGCCTACAAGAGGTGAGTCCGGTCTGATTAGAGCCTCCCCTACAATAAGTGAGCACCAAGTATCATACTTTCCGTGTTCAATCCATCCATCCCATACACATGCACTCACCGCACCCCATTTCCCTCTCACCCATCCTTCCCTCTCTCCCATACATCCCTCCTCTCCTCTCCCCACACACTCCAGATCCTCGAGACTCGTCCCAAACAGCCCTCTCCTCCTCGTCACTCCATATACATTCCATCCTGTGCACTCAAACCATCCCTCCTCACCCCTCTCGCCCGTCCATCTCCCCACATCCCACACTCTCCAGACCCTCGAGGCTCGTCCCACACAGCCCTCTCCTCCTCGTCACTCCTCTCCTCCATGCCCCTTGCCCCCCCTTCTGAAAGGTGTGTACCCGAATGAAATTATACAGGTATTCTCGTGTATACCCCTCTTCCCAACCTTGCGCCAAAGTTCCCTCCCTTGTGGCGCTCTCCTCCTCCCTGCTCCTCCTGCTGTGTCGTTTCCTTTCCTTTCTTTTGTAAAGGCAACTTGTTTAACAAGCTATGAGAGTATGTGCAGTCTTTGAACGCCTCCTCCCCTCCCGCTTCCTCTTCCCCCTTTGCCCATCACTTCCTCTTCACTGTTTAATGTAGTTCAAACTCTCCCTCCCCTCCCACTCCCCCTTCCCCCTTCGCGCGTCGCTTCCTCCCCTCCACTGTTCCATCCAGCCTTCTTGACAGCCTTGCTTCCTCCTCCCTCGTCCCCCGCTCTGCCACGGCTAGTGAGTACACGGCACACACCAACCGCAGAGTTGCTTCAAAAACTGCCCACACAAAACGCCCCATTCAAACTCTGCTTTACGCAAAGGAAGCCGTTGCGTTGGAAGCAGGAGGGTCGAGTGCTCCTGTCGGTCTGGTTTGGCACCTGCTGGTCTCGCTTAGGCCGTTTGTTTGGGAATCTCAAGAGCCTCTGTGAACAATAACAAGGACTTCATGCCTTTGAGTTGGTACTACCAAGTTTTGAGACGTCTCATAACTTGCTTAGGCCGTTTGTTTGGGAATCTTAAGAGCCTCTGTGGATAATAACTAAGGACGTCATGCTATTGAGCTGGTACCAAGTGAGGGTTCAGGGTTTAGGTGTAGGTTGAAGTCTTCCTGCTTAAAACACCCAGTTTACTCATTTGCTTGTTTCTTCCATCGTTCCCATCTCTCTGTTTCAGGTATGCCATCCGTCCGTGCGTCTCTCGACTGCTTAGCTGGTCTACCACCCTCCTCCTCCTCCACTTCGTCATCCTCCTCCTTCCCCTCCTTTTCATCCTCCTTCCCCTTCTCTACTGTTGCCCACTCCTCATCAACTCTCTCCAACCCATCGGCAGCAACACCACACTCTGCTGACAAGATACTGTCGCGGAAACAATCGCACTCACACAACCTCTCTCACTCACCCAACCTTGCTCACTCGCCCGACCTCTCACACTCTCACAACCTCTCCCATTTCTCCAACCTGTCTCGCTCGCACAACCTCTCACAGTCTCACGGGCTCATGCACTCCCTTTCCCACTCGCTCTCGCAACACATGGGACACCGAGGCTCGCACGCTCGACAAAGCAAGGTACTACGATCTCCATTGCAAAAATATAATGTAACACATTTTCTAGCCTCTATTTGTATATCCTTTTTAACTCTTACACCCAGAAACTCCTCTCGCTTCCGCTTGTGTAATTCCTTGCCCTTGGTTCTTCCACTCCCCACAGAAGCCCACCCCACCCAAACCCCATGGCCCTCTAATTGCCTCCTTGCTGCACAGAAGACAGGTTTCGGGCATTAATGAAGTGAAAGGGATCAGTGACCGCGATCCACCCCTTGGTGTGCCACCCCTTGGTGTGTCACCCCTCGGTGTGCCACCCCTCGGTGTGCCACCCCTCGGTGTGCCACCCCTCGGTGTGCCACCCCTCGGTCACAGCAGCCCACGATTCTCTGAACAGTTCACATCCCCTTATACTCATTTGAATCCCCTCTTCTCCTATCCCACCAATTCCCACAGGAGCCTACCACTCCCAAGGGGCACTTCCCCCTCGTCGCCTCCTCATTGCACGCTGGAGGGGCTTCAGGTGTTGATGACGTGGAGGGCAGTGATAGGAGGTCCACCACGCCACATCGGCGCGGCCGGCAACTGCTGAAAAATATCTTCTCACGCGGTGCTGGTGGTGCTGGTGCTGGTGCTGCTGGTGCCAGTGGTGCGTTAGGGGATGGTAGTGGCGGTTATATGAGCACTCAGAGAGCCCATGATCGAGGGTACTCCGGACACCTGTGACGTGCTGTTACACCTGATGATAGTCCAAGCCAAGGTCGTTCGTGAGATGTCATGCTGCCAGTGGTGCTTTAGGGAATGGTAGTGGCGGTTATACTAGCACTCAGAGAGCCCATGATCGAGGGTACTCCGGACACCTGTGATGTGTTGTTACCACAGATGCTAGTTGACGGTTGTGCCATGAGCTGTGGGGCTGCTGTTGCTGGTGCCAGTTGTGCTGTAGGGGATGGTAGGGGCGATTATACTACCGTCATCGCCCGGATATAAGACATATATGTCTTATCTCGTATGCTACTCAAAATGCTTGGGTTATCTTGTATTTGGGACGGTTTAGGGTGTCTTATAAGTCTTTATAAACAGACAAAGAACTGTTTAGAAGATACCCCTTCGCTGTACAATTGCCCCTAACCCCTACACTGGCTTAACTTGTACACACAAATAGGTGTCTTATAATGAGGCTAGCCTGGATGAGAGACACCCGGACAGGCCCTCAGATTCACTTTTAGGGACGTTGATGCATCAGGGTCCTTGTGAAAAAAAGCCTGAATTTCAGGGTTCCTAAAATAAAAAGCCTGGATTGTGAAAGCTTGCTTTCTGCAACTTGTAAAGGCATCGTGCTTCATTTCATATGGGTATGAGTACATCAATCTCGTCCAATGATAACTACCGTCATCGCCCGGATATAAGACAGTGTTGAACACTAGACAGGGGTTGTCTACTATACGGGTGTCTCTTATAAACAAGCTAGCCTTTTTATATGACACCTATTTGTGTGTACGAGTTAAGACATCTATGTCTTATAATCAGAACCAGGGTTTAGGGGTTTTCTTATAAACAGGGGGTGTCTTCTTAGCTAGCCTTCCTTACTTTAGGGGGGTATATGCATACAGTCATGAATCTCTACTTCTACCTAACCCCCCTCAGTCACCGCCTCCTCACCTGCACTAACAACAGGCTCTACACCCAGGTCTATCACTCGCCAGGCATGCCTAGCCGTCTCCCTAGGCTCGATCATGCGGTCAGCCTCGGCCGCCGCTCCGCAGTAGTTGGGGGTCTCCTGGTACAGCACCTCCAGGCCGTTTGCCACGGCCACCTCCCGCACGCCCTCCGCCTGCATCGCCTCCTCCTCCTCCTCCTCTGGAGCCCGACCAAGCAGGCGCGTGTTGTCGCCTGTGGCCCCCCCGAGAGACATGTCCGCTGAGACATCGGTGGTGCTCCTGGCGCGCAGGTGAGACATCACCAGGTGGTTCTGTGTTCCGTCCAGCTTGCTCGAGATCCCACAGTGGCGGAACGCGTCGATGATGATCTGCTTGGGGACTTGATCCCAAGCCTCCGCGATCCACTGCAGCACCACGGGGTGCGGAGGCCTCCGCAGGTTCCCTGCGGGTGGGACCGAGGACGGGGCAGCGAGATGTAAGAGACACGGATATGAAGGAGCATGTTTAAGACAATGACACGAAACAGAACATGAATAAAACCGTAAATGAAGGACCAACTCACCCTTCTTCGTCTTCAGGTGAATCCCTTCACTCATGAACCACCTGGCGTAGCGCGCTCGCACAGCAGCCTTGAAGCACCGGTTGATGGAGACGTCCAGGGGTTGAATCTGGCTCGTACAACCCGCTGGGGTGACTGCAGGAGTGATGTTGTGCGTGCGGTACGGCTGAAGCATGGTCTGGGTGATGTGACCACGGTAGGAGTCCAACACCAGCATCTCCCGCCTTGCGTTCTGGCCGCGCTGGGGGTTCAGATGGGGCAGCACCTCCTTGGACAGCCAAGTCTGCACAGCGCTCTCGTCCATCCACCCGTTATCCTGTGCTTGGACCACGCTTCCTGCCAGGCACACAAGGGACAGACGGGCATCAGCACAGTGGGGCACGCTCATCAGGCAGTCGCACGGCTGAATTCACGCTCGCTTACCTTCCGGAATCTCACAGTTGGGGACGTTCTTCATCTTGAACCACACCCACGGCCGCAGCTTCTCCCCGGATGCAGTGCACGCGAGCATCACCGTCAAGCGCGTCTTCTGGTAGCCTGCAGTGCGGATTGGGACCGAGCGCGCGCCACGGTGCTCGATCGTCCGTTCGGCTGGCATCTCCACGAATAGTGGAGTCTGGTCCGCATTGATGATGCGGGCCAGGTCGATGTTGTGCCGCGCCCTGTTGATACGCACAAACTTCCAGAAGGACTCGCAGTCCTTCGGGCACTCTGCAAACGGGACAAGCGCAACGGAAGCACGTGATGGTTAGACACCGGGTGAGGTACATGCATTCAATAGATTGCCAGACGAAATCCTTCAACACGCACCTGCCGACAGACGTTGGCCGACCTTGGTCTTCACCCGCATCACCAGGTTCCAGCGGTCACGGAAACGCTGGCTCAAGTGAGAGTTTGCGTTCCAGTTCTTGCCGGGGTAATGCTTCTTCATCCACTCGCGGCTCCACTTCTGGGTGTCCTTCACCGAGATGGCCACGCTGAAGGCAGATGTAGCGGTACAACGCTGCCTCCATGTCGGGGTAGTGTGAGTGGCGCCCCCCCCCCCCCCCCCCCCCCCCCCCCCCCCCCCCGTGCATCCGCTTGCAGCAGTTAGCCGCGCCCTTGTAGACACCCGCTTCCGCCTCCGCACACAAGCGTCTGATGCAGGCGATGGACGCGGTTGACTCCACGCTCGTCTTCTTCAAGGAGCCGAGCTCTTGATAGCGGCGCGTCCACTTAAGCTTCTCACGCACGGTCCAGCTGCGGCGCGTCTTCGTAGTGTCTCTGCTACGAGAGGAAGGTGGGCGGGTGTTGGGATTATGGAGGGTGGGGTCCCTCAGCGTTACCTTCTCAGGGAACGTGGGAATCGGGCCCGCCGCCGCCGCGTACTCATCGTCGCTGCCCATCGGCTCGTTCACGACGATGTCGTCAGGATTCGGCGCCTTCTTCGCCTTCTTCTTAGCCGCACCCTTGCTGGATCCCGGGTCTTCGTCGGATGTCAGCTTCTTATTGCTTGTGCGGCGACGAGCAGGGACTTTAGCAGGGGCCTTAGCAGGGGCTTCCGTGACCTTGGCTTTCCCCTTCTCCGCAGCGGTGAGTATCGGGCGACGCTCCTCCCCCAGACCGTCGTCGTCAGAGCGCACCACGCGGGCCCGCTTCGACTTGGACTGTAGGCGATGGCGCAGCCTCCGCTTCAGTAGCGGAACGTCGTCGTCGGTCCCAAGGCTCCATGGGTCGTCGTCGCCGCCTTCCTCGTTAAATAAGACGGCATCCGCAGCAACCTTGTCTGACTCAGTCACAGCATCCGCATCCACAACTGCGGCCGCATCCGCAGGCGCAACTGTCTCAAGTTCCGCCCCCGCCTCGTCGTCAGCCTCCTCATTCGCATCCACCACCGCTTCCTGTGCATCCGCCGCTGCCTCCGCGTCGTCACCATGCGCATCTTTACCTCCGTCGTTGTCGGAATCACCAGCATGCCACTCTTCCACCTCGTCGTCGCTCCCGACCGGCCGATTCCACCAGTCGTCCTCCTCGATGTCAGCAGGACCTACATCGTCGCCTGAAGCGCTGTCGTCGTGGCCGTTCTCCGGCCAATCCTCCTCGGCGTCGTCGCCGTTCGCTTCGTCTCCGTTGTCCCCGTCACAGCTCGCACTGGAGGCGGCGGTAGGACTTGCCGCCTTGCTCGCGTTCTTCGCCATGGCTACACGGATGTCATCGCCGGGCGAGTTAATTCGCCCGTAGTTATTCACCTGCACGTGAGGACGAGGTGAGGACTTGCCTACTGGTACTTTGCTACGCATGGTTAGAGAGCCTGCTGAGAGCAAGGTTGAGACGAGTATTCAACCTCCTTGAGCATCAAATGAAGTGAGAGCCCGACTACCCCCCCCAGCCAGAGTGCCCCATCCACAGGTGCCGAGCCGCTCCTCTACGAGGCATCTCCTCGTAAAGTACAGCCCTCACGCTGCCAACGTGATGCCAGCAGTGTTCTGGAAGCATCCATGCGCTGCTGGCAGCAAAACGACACTGGCAGCATCATTAGATGCTGCCAGCACAGAGGAATGTTGCCAGCGGTGGCAGCTCCGTCACGTGGAAAGTGTGGGCGCTGCATGCATCACCACCGAGGTCGGCCTGTTTCAATGAAATTGGTCCTTGGGTGGTTTCTACACACTTTGCAAGTGTTACAGTCAACTTAAATTTTTTTCCATTTATAAGACTTATAAGACACCCTAAACCATCCCGTTTACAAGATAACTCAAGCATTTTTGCCCGTGTACGAGATAAGACATATATGTCTTATATCCGGGCGATGACGGTACGAGTACAGCAAGAATCTTAGAGACAAATACTACCTGGGTGGGTGGGTGGGAAACTCAAACTTAGAAATTGAAAAGAAGAACGTGGGTGAGGCCGAATGGCCTTAACCCCCTCTTTTGTAGCCAAAAGAGGGCGAGTAGCGATGCGACGCTGCCTTTGCTGCGTTGGCAATCCCTACATTTTCACAATACACAATTTTGAAAAGTGTTACACACTTTTAAAATTTTACATATTTTCAATCCCATTATGCCTCAGTGTATGGAAGCACTACTTTGAAACATGTGGTTGAGGGTTTTGAACCTAGATTTTACCATCCGGTACGATTTCGCTAACCACTACGATAGTTCCGATGTCAATCACTTGTGTCTTACAAAAATATTTATGTCGAAAAATTGGTTGACTGATTCGGGTGGTTTACAGGAAGGATTCGGAATGTGCATTCAGTGTACACTTCAGTAAAAGACAGGAAAATCAGTGTCAGCTATGAAATACATGCTGAAAAATCAGTGTTACAAAAATCTCAACACTGAAAAATCAGGGTAGGTACACAAAACTAGGCTAAAAAACAGGAATTTCAGGGAGAAATTCCTGATATCCTAGGGCCTGCACCCGGATAATAGACAACCTCTGTGTACTATTCAACACTGTCTTCTATCCGGGCGATGACGGTAGCACTCAGAGCCCATGATGGAGGGTTCTCCGGACACCTGTAACGTGTTGTTATACCTGATGGTCGTCGAAGGTCATGCGATGAAACGTGACAATGCTGCTCCTGCTGCTGGTGCTGCTGTTGCTGGCGGTGCTGGTGCTAGTGGTGCTGGTGCTGTTGGTGGTCCCCGAGATTTGAATCATCTGTAATTAGTCACGAGTTACAAGTCACAAGCAAAGCGCACACTAGTACATATAGGTACAATCTTTTTTCGGGCAGCTGTAATTTAGGGTACTACATTCATGCGAGGACGTGCCTCAAATGTAGGCGTCACAATCACTAAAAACCGAGTTTCGCGTAAATATGTTACGGTAATCCTGGTCTGGCCGCCTCCACCTAAGTAGTAGTTATTTTAGGCTGATTTCTTCGCAGTGTACCAAAGCAAGCACATGAACAAAGTCCTCATACACGGAAGTCCTCATTATGAATCCCTTGAACCAATGGGCAGCAGTTGCACACACCACCGCAGCAGTCGCCGCAAACACAGTAGTGCCAGTCGGGCCAGCAGCTTGTGGGTATATTAAAGCTGATTTCTTTGCAGGGTACCAGAGCGCATGCACGAAGTCCTCATACACATAATTCCTCTCAATGAACCCCTTCAACCAGTGGGCAGCAGCTGCACACACCACTTTCGAGACGCCTCAGAAATGCCAACTTGGTGCTCTTGACATTTGCAACCCGTGAATTTACTTCTTCGCAGGGTACCAAAGCGCATGAACAAAGTCCTCATACACATAATTCCTCTCGATGAATCCCTTCAGCCAGTGGGCAGCAGCTGCACACACCATCGCAGCTGCCGCTGCAAAAACAGCACCCATGGGGCCTGCAGCTTGCCGAATGGCAAGCGGGGCGATGGGAAGAAGGGCGGTGGCGGCGAGGAGGAGGAGGGACGCGGCCCAGAGGGCAGTGCAGAGGCGGTCAGACCAGCGCTGCACTCGCTGGCAGTCGGGGCACAGCCGCACGTGGAAGCGCTGCCTGCAGTGTTGGCGAGGGTGGAGATGTTTAAGGGGAGGAGAGGGGTAGAGGGCATAGAGTGGGGAGAGGGAAGAAAAGAGCATCTCCTCCGAGTTCTGAAACTTGGCAAAGGGGGGGGAGGGAGGGGATAGGGGCGAGGGGGAGAAGAGCGGTGACGGTGAGGAGGAGGAGGGAGGCGGCCCAGAGGGTGGTGCGGAGGCGATCAGACCAGCGCTGCACTCGCTGGCAGTCGGGGCACAGCCGCACGTGGAAGCGCTGCCTGTTGGGGGGAGGGGGGGGGGGGGAGAGGAGAGGGGGAGGGAAGGGGAGGGGGTTGGGCGGCAGGCATGTACCCTGCCTGCCTAAAAAGACCAGCATTGCACCCGCCGGCATTCGGGGCAAAGCCGCACGTGGAATTGCTCCTCAAGGGGATGCAATAGGAGCACATGAACAGCTAGGAAATAAGTTGCTTCTTCCTCTGGCCTCTACCCTCTGCCCTCAACTTGACCTTTTCATAACCGACGAAACTCGCCTTCTCACCTGTCAAGAATCTCCCGCCTCGACTTGGCAGGAGGCAGTTCCGGATTCACGTAGGCAGGAAAGCGGGCCTTGCCGCCCGCAAATCTGAGCAGCCAGGAGCGATAGGCCGAGACAAATGAGTCCGCCGATGTTGGAGTGTAGTAGCTCTTTACCCCCTGCTCTGCCCCTCCCTCCTCCTCCAGCCGCCGCTCCTATAGGCACAGACAATGAAGTAAGGCAGAGAGAAAGGTGAGAGAGAAGCGAGGAGCTGTAAGATGAGACAACGAGTTGGCTGATGTTGGAGTGTAGTAGCTCTTTACCCCTAGACCGCCCCTCCCTCCTCCTCCAGCCGCCGCTCCTGCTGCAAGGGGGAAGGCAGAGACAGAGGCGTTTGGTGGGGGAAGAAAGGGAGGGTACAGAGAGGTGTTCGGAGCGGTAGGCCGAGACGAACGAGTCGGCTGACGTGGGAGTGTAGTAGCTCTTTACCCCCTGCACCGCCCCTCCCTCCTCCAGCCGCCCACTCCTGCATCGGGGGAAGGGTGCAATGGGGAATGGAAGAGGGAATACGGTGAGTAGGTTTCAAGGGGTGAATCTTGTGCCATCCCTTTCAGGTGCGCGAACCATTCAGGAGGGAGAGGCACCCAGGAGGGCACGGTTTCCCGTTACACACCAGAAGTAGGAGTTGACTTTTGAGTCGACTCAAAAGTGCACCGAGGAGGGAGCCGCTTCTTGTTACACACCAGAAGCAAGAGATTTAGTGCATTAGTGAGAGCTTGTTGGAAAGTTTTGAGACGTCTCGAAACAAGGAAGAGCGTTCTGAGATGCCTTAAAACAAGCAAGAGATGTTTGAGACGTCTCACAACGAATAAGATAGTTTTGAGACGTCTCAAAACAAGTAAGAGACGCAGTACATTAGAGAGAGAGAGCGATCCTGTTGGAAAGGCATACCATGAGGTGCAGCAACGGGTGGTCGATGTCTAGCACTTTCATCCTTGTCAGGTGCACGAACCACTCGGGGGGTGGGGGGGGGAAGGGCATCCAGGCAGGCAATCGTTTCTAGTTCAGACTCCAAGTGAGCACGATGCACAATAGCGCAATAGCGTCTTCTGGAATGGCATACCGTGAGGTGCAGCAACGGGTGGTCAGTGTCTAGCACTTTCATCCGTGTCAAGTGCACGAACCACTCCGGGGGCATGGGCACCCAGGGGGGGATGATGTTGTTCATGAAGAACCAGATGAGGCGGCTCTGCCCCGGCAAGCGGGGAATGCAGTGGAAGAAGAGAATTGCCGTCCGCTGCTTCTTGCCCGACCCCTCTGGCTGCTCAGAATACGGTGTGGGGAGGGACGTGCGGTGTGGGGAGAGCGAGAGAAGGGGGTGGAGAGTCCAGGGGGGGAGAACGGGGGAAGGGGGAAGAAGAGTGAGAGAGCAGGGTTAGTTTGAAGTTGATTCAAGGTACAGACCACTCGGGGGCATGGGCACCCAGGGGGGGATGATGTTGTTCATGAAGAACCAGATGAGGCGGCTCTGCCCTGGCAGGCGGGGGGGAATGCAGTGGAAGAAGAGAATTGCCGTCCGCTGCTTCTTGCCCGACCCCTCTGGCTGCAGAGGTGGCAATGGGAGAGGGAGGGAGGGCAACAGTGCACTCAATGCGGTTGGATGGGTTCCAGTGCAGTGGAAGAATAGGATTGCTGTTTGCTGCTTCTTGCCCGACCCCTCTGCCTGCTCAGAATCGCGCGTGGTGAGGGAAGGAGGGGGAAGATGGTGGGGCGGTTGAAAGAATGTGGTAAAACCGGGGTGGAAAGGGGAGAAAATAATCTAAAGCGGCAAAACATAACAATAGTGATCATTATAAATGAATCTCACCACATTTTCCCCGATCAGCAGCTTCTGAATGAGCGTGCAAGGGGGGACCACAGGAGCTGAGGCAAAACCTGTAGGCAAAGTATTGTGCTTAATATAATAAAGGGAGCTCACCACTTTCCCCCCGATCAGCAGCTTCTGAATGAGCGTGCAGTTGGGGACCACAGCAGTTGGGCAAAACTCATTGGCACCTAAATGAGGGCATTGTGATTATAACGAAGTGAGCTCACCACTTTTCCTTCGATAAAGATCTTCTGAATGAGAGTGCAGAAGCAGACCACAGCAGCTAAAGTAAAAATCTAGGTACCTAAAAATGAGAAGTGTGGTTATAATGAAGGGAGCTCACCACTTTCCCTCCGATGAAGAGGTTTTGAATGAGCGTGCAGGGAGAGACCACAGCCGCTAGGCCGCCCAGAAATGTTGTAACGAGTGTGTGCTACCGAGTATGTAGAACCAAAGGAATTGTCTGTAACAAAGAGAATATCTCACCACTTTCCCCCCGATGAGCAGCTTCTGAATGAGCGTGCAGGGAGGGACCACAGCAGCTAGGCCGCTGCCCACAAAGCTGGTGCCCTCGATGCCCCGTGCGGTGATGCTGGTTACCGCCATGGACGGTAGTGGCCCCGCCTTGTTACGATCCGCCTAAGCACGTGGGAGTGTATACAGTGGAACATAGAACAAGACACAAAACGTGTCTCATGGGTGCTTCATGGGGTGACGCTGGTTGTTACCAGCATGGACGGCAGTGGCCCCGCCTTGTTGCGATCACCCTGTGGGAGGTGCTCTTGTAGGTGGTGAGGAGGATAAAAGGTTTGTTCCCTCAATGCCCCGTGGGGTGATGCTGGTTACCAGCATGGACGGCAGTGGCCCCCCGCCTTGTTATAATTGGCCTGGGGATTGAGACTGGAATTGTGGGATGGGTAGTTGTGATGTGTCAGGCGAAGGGAGGATATGCTGGATCTAGACAGACAGGTGATGTACAGCCCAAGAATGGACCCAACATGAATGGATATCCGACCATGTACTTGTGATGGGTTATCGCTCCTATGTCCCTACCTGGTACTTTTGATGGGCGAAGGGCACATGCGCTGGGCCTTGACAGGTAGGCGCGTCAGACTTCCTGAACTACAATGTGAATGGTTCAAGCTGCCACGTGGGATTGTGGCCCCACCTGGTTTTGAGTCGACTCAAAAGTGGCCCCACCTGGTACTTGTGATGCGCGAAGGGCACATGCGCTGGGTCCAGCAGATTCTCCATCAGCATCTCGTAGCTGTGGGGAGGGGCGAGAGTGAAAACACATAGGTAGGGACGTGGAGAAGGGAAGATACGGAGCGCCTGAGACAGACACACACGGAGGGCACATGCGCTGGGTCCAGCAGATTCTCCATCAGCATCTCGTAGCTGTGGGGAGGGGCGAGAGTGAAAACACATAGGTAGGGACGTGGGGAAGGGAGGATACGGAGCGCCTGAGACAGACACACACGGAGGGCACATGCGCTGGGTCCAGCAGATTCTTTGTAAGCAATTTGTAGCTGTGGGTAGGAAGAAGGGAGTCGGGACGGGTAGGGAGTGCGGTAGGGACACGGGGAAAGGAATGGGGCGACTGAGACAGAAGCACACGGAGGGCACATGCGCTGGGTCCAGCAGATTCTCCATCAGCATCTCGTAGCTATGGGAAGTGGGGAGGGGAGTGGTTACGGGTAGGGAGCGAGAAGGATAGGGACATGGGGAAAGGATTGGGGCGCGGCCTGAGACAGAAACACGTGCCCTTCGCGCATCACAAGGTCTGCCAAGCCCGTGTGTTTTGAGGCGCCTAAAAAAAAGGCGCCTCAAAACTCACCACATGTGCCCTTGCCAGGTCTGCCATGCCCGGATCGTATCGAAAGCTCAGATCATCAAATCAAACTCAGGGAGAGTTCTGAGACGTCTCAACACCCCAACCTCACAAACCCACCCCAACATTTTGCATCACAGCTCACCCGTATTCAAGGCCTGCCATGCCTGTGTCGTATCGGAAGCTCGGATCGTCAAACTCAGGGAGAGTTTCAAGACGTCTCAACACCCCAACCGCGCAAACCCTGCACCTCAACCTTTTGCATTACAGCTCACCCATATTCAAGGTCTGCCATGCCCGTGTCGTATCGAAAGGTGGGACTTGAGGTGCCTCAAATGCCCCAGAATACTTTCCAAGCAGCTCACCCATATTCTAGGTCTGCCATGCCCGTGTCGTATCGAAAGCTTGGATCACCAAACTCAGGGAGGGATGGGGGAGGCGGGGCAGCAGCTGCTTCAGCAGCAGCGGAGGGCGAGCAGTCCGGCCAGAACCAGATGATGCCTTCATGCACCCGACTGGGGTACACCCGCGCACATGCTCGAGGGGAGGCGTTCACCTGGGAGGGGGAAGAGGGCAAGGGGCAGGAGCAGGGGCAAAGGGCAGGGGCAGCAGGGAAGGGGAATGGGTGGGCGAAGGGAAGGGGAGAGGACGAAAGGGACAACACAAGGGCAAGAAAAGGCGGGAGTAAGGAAGTGGCAAGGTCTAGGCGGGTGGTGGGGCAGCAGCTGCTTCAGCAGCAGCGGAGGGGGAGCAGTCCGGCCAGAACCAGATGATGCCTTGATGCTCCCGACGGGGGTACACCCGCGCACATGCTCGAGGAGAGGCGTTCACCTGGGAGAGGGAGGGAGGAGGGTGGGTTGAGGGTGGGAAAGGGGGTTGGGGGATGGGAAGGGTACATTGGGAAAACTGAAGGGTCAGAACCAGATGATGCCTTGATGCACCCAACAGCAGTACACACGCGCACATGCTCGAGGGGAGGCGTTCACCTGGGAGTGAGAGGGGGTTGGGGTGGGGTGGGAAGGTTACAATAGGAAAGGGGAAGGGCCAGAACCAGATGATGCCTTCATGCTCACCTCCCCTCCCTCACTCCAGGTGAGTAACATATCCCATCCATGGGAGCCTAAGAAATGCACCCGATGGGGCTTCTTTTGAGACGTCTCAAAAGCCATCCATGGGAGCCTGAGAAATGCACCCGATGGGGCCTCTGGTCCGTGGGAGCTCGAGTAATGAGCCCACAAGTTGCCTTCTCCAAATACTACAGAATGACTGGATTTAGAAAAAAAATAAAAGCAGCAGAATCCCACTCACTGCAGGCCCGTCCGTGGGAGCCTGAGGAACGAGCCCACACGAGCCTTCTCCTGATCTTACAGAAGAATGATGGGAAATCTAAAAAATCCCACTCACCGCTGGTCCATCTGCAGGAGCCTGAGGAATGAGCCCGCACGAGCCTTCTCCTGAGAACGTCCATCCGTGGTAGGAGCACTGCAGCTGCCCTGATTCATGGATCCGCCCCTCTGATAGCGGGGCTAGCCTGGGAGGAGGGGAGAGAGAGTGGGGGAGGGAAGGGGGCAGCTTAGTTGGGTAAAGGAGGGGAGCAGCAGGGTGGGACTGAAAGTATGACCGTCCGTGGTAGGAGCACTGCAGCTTCCCTGACTCGTGTATCCGCCCCTCTGATAACGGGGCTAGCCTGGGAGGAATAAGGGGCGGGGGAGGGAGGGGAGGAGGGAAGAGGGCAAGTCCAGTTGTGACTGAAAGTACGACCGTCCTTGGTAGGAGCACTGCAGCTGCCCTGAGTCATGGATCTGCTCCTCTGATAGCGGAGCAAGCCTGGGAGTGGGGAGGAGGGAGGTGGTAGGAATAACCAGTCCAGTTTGCAAGGGAGGAGGTGAAGGAGCAAGCACTCCATTTGCCCCGATTCGTGTGTCAACGCTCTGATAACGGGGCAAGCTAGGAGGTGGAGCGAGGTGAGGCTAAGGAGTTTGGGAGACAGGAAGAAAGGCGAGATAAGGGGATGGTGGAAATGAAAAGGGGATGGGGGGCCAAGGAAGAGGAAGCAAGAGTACGGGAGGCAAGAAGAGAGAACGCGAGGCTGGACAAGGGGAGAATGAAGTTAGGAATATTACGTTTGCAAGCACTAGGGCATAATGCTGTATCAGAAGAGAGTAGAGAACAATAAGGGAACAAATGGACACATGTTATGAAACAAATGAGGGAGGATGGTTACTGCGAGTACCTGTGAGGGCAGAGGTCATGGAAGACCCGCCATTGGTCAGACACCCGATCGAACCAGATGACCAATGGGCGGCCGAGAATGGTCACAGGCTCGGGAACACGCTTGTTCAGAGTCTTGGTGAGCGCTGGTGGGTGTGGTGAAGGGGGGAGGGGGGGAATGGGGGTGCGAGGAGGAAAATGTGGCTAACACATTGGAAGGGAATGAGATGATGTGCGGAGAGAGGAAATGGGGTAAGGGGGGAAGAGGATGAGCGCTGATTGCGCTTGCTCAGAGTCTTGGTGAGCGCTGGCAGGTAGCATGGTGGTGGGGGGGAGGTGGGGGGAGAGGGGAGGGGGGGTTGGCGAGGAGAGGAAAATGTGCTAGACATTGGATTGAGGGGAATGAGATGAACCTCCGAGGAAAAAGGATGGTATCCAGAATTGTGCACGCCGAAGCTTTTCCGAGGAATTGCGGTCAACCCGCGGGGGAGGGGGGGGGGGGGGGGGGTATTCAGCACTCTGAAAGAAGGGGGAAACTGCGTTGTGGGGAGGAGTAAGGAAGGGACGACGGAGGCTAGGAGGGGCGAGAGAAAACAGTGGAAACAGGGGAGGGAGGAGAATCTAGGATACAAGGAACGAATGAGGTGGTGTTTCAATGTCATGTACTAATACTGAGCTTCCCTGATGATGATGAGTTTCTGAGCTAAAACTTCCACGACCTCGCAATTCGGAAAAGGATATCGCCGAAAATTGTTTTCTTCCAAGCGTCAAGGAAACGTGGAAAATCACAAGGCAAACTTCACTTTTTTGCTGCGCACATGCGAGACGAAAAAATCACGTTGCTCCGTGCAGCGAAATTGTTACTCTGACGCTCGAACATGTTCAGTGTGACGCTGCAAAGCACGTCCCCAAACCTATGTTTGCAGGCCCTCCACTTCTCAGGGTGTCACTTTTAGTTTATCTCAGGCGCTTTTCCTGATGATACACTTGACGGTTCTTTTCGTGCAAGATTGCTTTTATGACCGTCATTTTAAAAATATAGCATTCACGTACCTACTGGGTACCAGGCTTTGTCCCAGTCGAATAACTCCTCCTCAACGGCGGTTGTCGCTTCCGTGGCCGTCGCAAAACCACCTTCTACAGTCACAGTCGCTGCTGTCACGCCATCACGCGACGCATAACAGCATCGACCTTGATATTCCTCTGACTGAACGAGTGGATATCCATGACTTCGCCGCGTGGACGCTAGTACGAACTGTCGACCTTCCGTGAATCGCGGCGCCTTTGGCTTCGAAATGAACGTGTTCATGTTTCTTACGTTGGTGCTCAGCGACAATGAGCAGTTCGAAACGTGTGAAACAGCTTTGGTATGGTTGATGGTTCCAGAAATCGCGTTGCTCGCGTGATATGAACCAGAGAAAGCCATGGGGAAGAGCTGGAAATGGGAGAAAACACGTGTGTCAACAGGAATGCAGAAATTTCACATATGCTGGGTGAAATGAGATCCTGAGTTTTTTCAAGGGATTTCAGTCCCTGTGAATGCCGACTCGCAAGGACATTGAAGATGGAATCCTGCCTAGAGCGTGTATGGAGGCCATAAGACACTCACGAAGTTGCGACAGAGATCTGTAGTGCAAGTTGGCTTTCCTGAGTAGGCGCTTTTTCCCCTACGAACCGTACTAGACCCATATTTATGCCTTCTTCACCTAGCGGAGCCGCGTTGAACCAAGCTGTAACGAGTCCCCTGCTTGCGTGTGCTCGGCATGAGCTGGTTCTGGAGGGGGGGATGGGAGGGGAGCAGGCCTGTCGCTTGCAGGGCGTTTGCCCTGCTGGACCTTGAATTCCAGGGCTGGGTTGCACTTGAAAACTGAAATTGCTGGGTTGAGAAAATTGTGGCCCTGATTCATTACAGGGCGATTTCGGGTTAAGGGTAGATTTTAGGTGAGCCCTGGAACGAAGTCTTTCGAACCACCCCTCCCACTCCTCCCCCCCCTACTCCCCCCCCCAAACTCCTCCATTCCCCCTCCACCCGTTTCTATTTTGATTGCATTCAAGCCTGTCAAATTTGGAGTTGCGTGGCTGGACCACAGATTCAACTCAACTAACAACTGGTACTTGTACCAATTACAACCTCGCTCCCATCCCATGACACACAGACAGTAGCATGAACCAACATGCAGCAGCAAAACACATCTCAGATCCCCGTCATGTTGTGTACCCTCAGGCCTGAATGGGCATAGCAAGCAGCAAAACACCTCACATCTTTGCTAAGAGTTGGAAGAGGAGGAAGTCTGTTACGCGTGCGTAGTGAATGACGCTAACTAGTTTTTTTATTGCTAACTAGCTAATTTGCGGAGTGCAGCTGTCAGCTTTGTGGTAGAACTGAGGCTGCAGCATTTTCCGCGGCAAACCTGATTTACAGGGAGGAATAAATTTCAGCCCTGAAGCCTAAAGGGCCGAGATTCGCCCCGACCCTGCTAAATACAGGGTCGTACATGCCGGGCCCCCTGATTTGTCCGGGGGGGCCAAAACGAAACGACAGCCCTGGAGGGGAGGGAGTGACAGAAAACCCAATCCCAATAAATTGTTTCGCACAAATTGGACCGTTGCTTGCTGGAGCCCGTGAATCTGGAGACGTGATTGGATGTGCAGTTTGCAGTATCTCCATCTCACGCATCGAACGGTGACTATTGGATAGAGCAACCATTTGACGATCTGGTGTCGCACGGCAATATCGAAGCAGTCACCCTGTCACCTGTACACCCGCCAGCTCCATAAAAAAACAATCTTGAAGGATATATTTAAAAAAAAGAAAACTTGTGCCACACCAGTGCATTCTTCCTCTGATACCTTTAGGGGATGGTGTTGGTGGTAAATTGGGTACTGATATTTGTTTCTTACGGATGAAGGGTGTACCATGGTAGGGCTTTTTATGCACATGTGATGTATGTAGCAAAAAGGTTTGTTACAGTCAAAAAAATTATGCTCATCTGTAGGCAATCAAACTACGAGTAGAGGACGGAGCAAACTGTATGCAGTGAAAGGTTGTATGCCACGTAGATTGAGGAGAGGTTGAGTGGTAGGAGGTTAAGATGCTGGAGGCGCTAAGACTTTACTGACGTGCCAGGACCAGGGCTAATGGAATACAATAATAGGCGATGGAAGTTTATACTCATGCCAAATAAGGTTCTGGTGTGAGAAGAATGGTAGGCAAAATGTTGGAATAGAAAAGAGAGTTGTTCGACTGACTGTACAAATAAAATGGAGTAATTTCCCCTATCTCAGATTCCCCAGCCAAGAACAGGCCCCATCCACCACCTCCCACCTAGGGAGGCATACTACCTACCGTATGACATACTATTCAGGAACCTGATCACTCTAGCTGCCAACATAGCAGCACACGCTCTCCTGCCACCTAGAAGTGCCGCTTTCTCAAGGCATATTGCCCAAGCAACACTCCACTTTCCAGAACATAATACCTACCATCGCCCCTTGCGATCAGTACCAGTGAGTAGCTAGTGCTCGTAGCTGGCTGCCATAAGCACGGAAGAGAGATACTGTACAAGGGTGGGATATAAGGCCCATGAAGCCCGCTGATGTGATCTCTTTCTCTGACCATCTCTTTCTCTCCTTCTGTTTGAGACAATCCTTCCAGCTGTAACTGCCGATTAGTGGTGTGCCTCGGCTCCCACCAAGACCTTCCCTGATGTTGCGAGAGCCACACACTTCAGCAGCCGCTGCAGTGGCGCTGCAGCAGCAGCAGAAGCGGCTAGTAGAGAGAGTAGCAGCAGTGGGAGCGGCAGCGGCAGAAACCCCCGGTTTCCCTGGCTCAAAAGGCTTGAAATCAAGGCCCTATTTACACAGCATGAGTCCAGGGTTGTTACAGAAGAGAGTAGTAGTCGAGGTCCAAAGGAGGCAGCAGCGCGTCGCTGGTAACCAGAACTGGTAACCGATGCACGAATAGGAAGATGCGTCGAAGGTTGTCTCGAGTGATCTTTCTCATATCCTCCGCCTCCTCTGCTCCCACCATCACCCACAGGTCGCTCTCTTGCACTTTCCCCAAGTCGTCCCGGCAGAACGGGCAGGAGCGAGAGCGAGAGCTCCTGGGGAGGGAGTGGGGTGGGGGTGAGTGCGGTGAGAAAGGGTTGTATGAGATGTTTGATGTTTTGCTTGTGATTTGCCTCCTCTGCTCCCACCATCACCCACAGGTCGCTCTCTTGCACTTTCCCCAAGTCGTCCCGGCAGAACGGGCAGGAGCGAGAGCGAGAGCTCCTGGGGAGGGAGTCGGGTGGGGGTGAGTGCGGTGAGAAAGGGTTGTATGAGATGTTTGATGTTTTGCTTGTGATTTGCCTCCTCTGCTCCCACCATCACCCACAGGTCGCTCTCTTGCACTTTCTCCAAGTCGTCGTCCCGGCAGAACGGGCAGGAACGCGAGCGAGAGCTCCTGGGGAGGGAGTGGGATGGGGTTGAATGGGGTTGGATGAGATTGAGCGAAGTGGATGGGGTGAGGCGGGGTGGAGTGAAGTGTAGTGGGGAATGTTATGTGTTGAGATACTGAGGAGGGGGAGAGGGGCGGAATGAGGAGCGCTTGTAAGGGAGGGTGTTGGGTGAGATGAAAAAGAGGAGGATGGGAGAGAGGGGGTCGGTTTGAGTAAACTCATAACACGACTCACCAGTCCTTGAAGCATTGGGAGCACATGGAGTGAGTGCAGACGGGAATCGCACCAGTGGGGGGTGAACGGAGGAATGGGAGGAGGAGCAGGAGGAAGAGCAGGCGGAATAGATTTTTGAAGCGCCTCATTTATTGGGTTGAGACTCACCAGTCCTTAAAGCATCGGGAGCACATGGAGTGAGCACAGCTGGGAATCGCGACGCGATCACAGCCGTCGGATCGAACCTCCTCGAGGCAGATCCCGCACTCGCGCTCCCTCTCCCTCTCCCTCGCCCTCTCCTTCTCCCTCTCCATCCCTGTCAGCAGCTCTATCTCCTCATCCTCGTTATAAGACGAGCAGGAGGAGGAGGAGGAGGAGGCAGGGGAGGGCCAAGAGGAGGAGGAGGAGATCGGGGAAGCAGTGGCGGAGGGGGGTGGTCTTGATTGACCTGCAAAAAGGGCACCAAGAAAGAGAGCACCAGCGAAGGGTCAAGCAGGGTTAGAGGTGCGGAAACGGGCAGTGTGTTGTAGAGGAGCCTCCCCCATCAAGACATGGGGGAAG